CGCCAGGGCTGTCCCGGGGAGCGCCCCACGGGTGCTCGGGAGGACCAGCCGGTTCCTGGCTGCAGTAGGTGCCTTTGTGCTGGGTGGGTGCTCAGCTGGTGGGAGACCCCTGGGGCTGCAGGGCTCCTGCAACCAATTGGATGGTCCCAGCATTCCCAGCACACAAGCCCTGTACAGTACTGGTTTGAAGAAGTGCCCAAACAGGACATGGACTGACCCATGGGGCAAATTACATGTCAGATGTATCTTAAGCTCTATAAAATCAAGTGTGGGATTGGTTGTGGTTTGCTTTTTCTTGGTTGGTTGTTTGTTGTTGTTTTTTTTAAAATCAGCCTTCAAATCATTCCACAGCATTTTAAGTAACAACATAAATAACCTGAAACACCACCAGCCATCTCCAGATCTTCTCCCATAGCCCAAACACGGCAGCAACATCACCCTGCTCAATACCTGCCAACCAGCTGACCACAACCAGCATAAATCCTGCCTTCAGAGCCCAAGAAGACCAGTCAGTCTGATTTCACTACTAAGCCAAACCCCATTTTTTGCCCTTTTACTCCTCCAACCTCCAATCTGTAACTATAAAAATCCTTCAAAACACATCACCCCACCACCAGCAGGTGTCCATCCATAAGAATCACAAATTAGACCTTTTCTAACACAGGGAAACACAGGTCATTGCCAGGCTGTGGGGCAGACATTCCTGGAGCTCAGCCCTGCCTCGAGACCCTCCCGGCATTACCAGATGTGCTGAGAAGTGTCTGTACTCCAGGAATGTGAAGGGAGAACCCAATGCTCCCAATAATCTGGCCACAGGAGGGGAGGTCTTCAGGTGGCAATCTGAATGAAATCAGCTCTAGCAATTACTGATTGCTCATGCTCTCAGCAGAGTGTAACTGTGCTTTCTTCCCAATCCTCCCTTCCACAGAAAGCCCAGGAGATGCCACCTCTTCCAAGAATGACCCCGGAGCAAGACCAAAGGAGCAGGGAAACAGCCCCTCCCCATGACAGTGTGCAGGGGGTGGGGTGGGTAGGAGGGCCTTGCTGTGAACATTAAACAAGAATTTGCTGTTGAATCTGCAGGCAAAAACCAACCTGGAACAGCAAGTTGTCTGTCAAATGCCTCTGCCATGACCATTTTTGTTTAGAGAGCCACAAGATGCTGTACAAGGACTGGCACCTCCAAAAGACTTCTGCTTCCATCCCTGACGATCTAGTGCAACACTGCTGTGGTTGTAGTGACATGAGCCATTCTCAAGATGCCTTAGCTGCAGTTTTCCCTTTGGGGAAAATATGATTTCAGTAATAATAGACACATTAGGCTTTCCTGTCCAAGGTACCTCCCACCTTTGCAAATTTAAACTATTATTTATTCTGTTTCCATAGCTTAGAAATCTAATTACTGGGTTTTTTTCTAAGCCTCACCCTTATCTGCATCCTAGATCTGACCTGGCCTCTGGACTGTCCATGTGGCCTCTTACCAGGGTGGGCAGTGGGGAAGGGACCTGGCTGGTCCTGCTGCCTTCATGTCAAGCACCACTCCCCAGTGCTGCTGCCTCTTAGGATCAGGAAAGGACCAAAGCACAGCTCTGCCTGGACCAGCTCCACAGTCAGCCCCAGCAGCACCAGCCACAGGCATCTTCTTCTTTGGGTTTTAGCATTTTAGGATATTGTTAAGGGGAGGGGAGAAACATTTTGCTGGTTTGACTGCTGAAATTCAGGCTTAACTTTGCAAGCTGTTAGCTGAGATGATCTCTGGAAGGATCTCACACCATTCTCTCTTTTAGGAGACATGTTTTGTGTTAAAGATGGTTTGATAAAACTATATAAGCTGTTGGAATAAATAACAAAGCCTTCAAGTACTGAAGGTGGTTCTTACTCCTCTCTTTTGCCTCGCAGCTGTTGGAGCTGCAGGGTGGTCACACCAGACCACTCCACTTACTGGAACTGTGTTACAAGAAGGTCCCTTCCCTTTGGGTCTGTGAGACCCCAGGGGTTTGCAGCACCCGGGTGGAAACGGGTGTCAAGTTGAGCATGAAAAATGCTACAAGTCTGCCCTGCAGCTGCTGGAGAGAGGGACACTTGTCTGTGGGTCTCTGGGAAGTGACAGCCATGGGACCAGGACAGAGATGTGTCTGTGGCTCCAGCCCCCCCAGAAACAAGGATTTGGCAGCCAGGTACCAGCTGCATCTGCTGCTTTGGCAGCTGCAACCAGCTCAGCCCCCAGAGCTGCCTGGATCCTATTGCAGCTCCGTGCCCGGGACAGCAGCCAGGAGCCTGCTCCCATTTCCCTGTCCTCAGGGGCAAACCAGCAGGTAGCTCCTGGGCTTGGCAGGCCAGGCAGTTGGGCCTTTAAGCCCCATTTCCAGCTCTCCTCACTGCCACTGCTCAGTGTTTTTGGCTGGTGGTGACACACAGCAGGGAAGCCAAAAGGCAGAGGGACTGAGCACCACACAAGACCTCCAGCAGTCAAACTTGGGCTGATCTTAGGCCTCCCTGGAGAGAAACTATCCGTTCCAGAATTATATTTAGGCAGATGATTAGGAACCCAAACGGGTGTCAAGTTGAGCATGAAAAATGCTACAAGTCTGCCCTGCAGCTGCTGGAGAGAGGGACACTTGTCTGTGGGTCTCTGGGAAGTGACAGCCATGGGACCAGGACAGAGATGTGTCTGTGGCTCCAGCCCCCCCAGAAACAAGGATTTGGCAGCCAGGTACCAGCTGCATCTGCTGCTTTGGCAGCTGCAACCAGCTCAGCCCCCAGAGCTGCCTGGATCCTATTGCAGCTCCGTGCCCGGGACAGCAGCCAGGAGCCTGCTCCCATTTCCCTGTCCTCAGGGGCAAACCAGCAGGTAGCTCCTGGGCTTGGCAGGCCAGGCAGTTGGGCCTTTAAGCCCCATTTCCAGCTCTCCTCACTGCCACTGCTCAGTGTTTTTGGCTGGTGGTGACACACAGCAGGGAAGCCAAAAGGCAGAGGGACTGAGCACCACACAAGACCTCCAGCAGTCAAACTTGGGCTGATCTTAGGCCTCCCTGGAGAGAAACTATCCGTTCCAGAATTATATTTAGGCAGATGATTAGGAACCCACTCTCTGGCTGCCTTCAGAGGAAGAGGCATCAGGTTCCCCCTGCAAGTGCAAGAGCCTGCTCAGCTGCAGTCACTGATTATGCTGGAAGAGCAAGGGCCTAACCCAGCCACATCCCAACTGCCAAAGCTGTGGAGCACATGGATGCTCAGAGCCCTTCATTTCAGTTGCCATGGGGACATGCTGCCCCTCCTGAAACTCGTAACAAGCATTAAGCAAGCAGAAAGTCTTTCAGCAAACGCTGCCCTGCCTGAGCTGACCACGCGCTGCAGCAGCCAGGCTGCTCCTCTGCTGCCTCTGAGCACCAGCCAGCTCTGCAAGACTCAGGAGATGGGGGAAATAAAAAAAAAAAGGATTGTAAAGTGTTTTTGATACCTGCTTGAAAAAGTGAGAGTGCACAGTGACCGTGCTGCTCCTAGCAGTGACATGTGTCCCTTTGATTACTGGAGGGAAAAGGACACGTGAGGTTGGAACAACCTGCATCCATAAATCCTACTCACCTGTCTAGCAAGGGAGCAGGGGTACCTTCCCTCTGCCTTTGGAAGAGTTCACTTTCCAAGTGCTCCAACCTGACAACAAGAAGAAAGCAGGAATCTGCTGCCCAAGCCCCCATCACACCTATGGATTAACCCCCGTGCTCCAGCAGGGCTCACGTTGTGGACCACAGATCCTGGCAGCCTCCCTTGAACAGAAAGGCAAGATGTCTCTTTTCATATAAATTTGTTATTTTATTACACAGGATTAACAATCAACTGTCCAAAATCCAAACAAGCAACTCTTCTTCAGAAACAATTTTTCAGAAAAATGACCCCAGAAAAGCCTGGTGCTTCCAGCAATCATGATCTTTAAAGTGAGGCTTTATCATTTGCTTTATAAAAGTAAGAAATCCACTCTCCTATCCATCTAACTGTATATATAGGTGTATATATGCACTGTGCACTTCAGAGATGAGGGGTTTTTTAACTCAGAAGACAAAAATGGAAGCCCAGAAAGAATGGAAACACTCCCAGCACATGGTCACTGCTGGCTGGACCAGTCTCACACCATCCCTGGTACTGGTGACCATGGCCCCTTGTCAAAGGCAACTTTTTGGTACAGTATTTTTGGAGTGAGCATCTTGGCAGACACCTGGATGCTGAAGCACACCACACACCTCAGAAAATTCTGGCCTCATCTCTGGATGCATGGCTCTCTTGCATAGTAAGTCAAAGTATTACAATGCACCAAAACCACCTAGGAATTTTGGTGAATGTTTCTGTGTAAATCCTGCACCAAACAGGACTTCTAGCCAGTCTTGTGGTCGAGTGAGAGAAGCAATTTAGATGGGACCTGAGTCAATATGTGACACTGAGCCCTAACTTATTCATTTACTTATTATTTTTTAATAGTGCCTAAAGGTTACACCAAGTCAGGAAAAGGGCAGAATGGGGAAAACAGGCAATCAACTCCCATTTCTCCAAGTCCTAAATAAAGATAGAGGAAGACCAAACTGCAGTTGCCAGGAATTCTCCAGGATGAGAGTACAAAACTAGGAAAAGTCCCAGAAGGCAGGTTCTGGCCCCAAATGGTAAAGAATCATTCCAACTTCCTAGGTGTGTGCAAGCATGGTCACAGCCAGCTGTGAGCACAGCTGGAGCCTGAGCCCAAGGTGTGCACTTCTGCAGCAGTGACACTGGGGGGCCTGACACACTCGTGTCCTTAACCAAGAAAGGATGCAAAAAAAATCGTGTTTCTTTTCTTAATTGCCCTTCAGACCTGTGTGCAGGCAAGAGCACCAGCCTGTTCTTCTTCCAGTCTTGTTAGTACAAGGCTAATCCTGGGTAAACATGCTGTGGCCAAACCCTCCCACCCACCCAGGTGGGAACAGAGCCTGTTTCTGCAGTGCCTGCTCACTCCCTGTCAGCACTAACCCACCTTTTTTCTACGAAGGTGACAATCAACCCAGGTCACAGGGAGAGGTGGCTGTTTCTGCACTGCAGGGGAGGGCTGGGCAGGTCAGTGGGGCAGGAGAGACAGAACAGGGGAAGAGGGAAAAAGACAAATCAGGGGAGGTGCTTCTGCTCTCATTTGGAGCACAGGAAGACTGGCAGATGGAGAAGGGAGTCAGGCCAGAAGGCAGTCTCAGTCTGCTTGCACAGCAGCAAGACAGGAAGCTGGAGATCCATCTGGGAGACAGTCTGTGGGGGTGACAGGTGGGTGTATGTGACAGCCTGATTCTGCTTAACTGTAAGGGTTAGCACAGGGGTGCCAGGAACAGAGACTGACCCCAGGCACCTTCTCCTGGTGCTCCCAGTAGCACAGAGGAGGGTGGAGCACACTTGAAGAAGGGCCACTGCTCCAGGTGGGCTGGCAGGGAGGGCTCAGCAGGCGTTGGGGACCATCCCATAGGCTTGATAGAGTTTGTTGAGCAGCTCCTGCTTTTCCTGCTCGGGTAAGAAGCTGGACTGAGCTGCATTGATGTTCTGGGGAGGCAGAGGGGGAACACAGGGAGACGTTAAGGCTCATCAGACATAACCACACAGTTGTGTACACCCAAGCATCTGGCTCTGAGCAGCAGCAGGTGACAGAAAATGTAAAGTTTACACTCCAAGATCCATTTCCATGGCCTCAATTTACAGGGCAACTGCTCTGGCCCATCACTAGCAACAGTCCCAAGAGGAAAGAGGCAAGCACACAGCAAAGGTCTTTAAAGACTTGGGAGTTAATTTTGTGTATCCAGACCTGTACCTACACTCCCAGCTCTACTTTGGACCAAAGCCTCTCCCTGTAGAGCTGGTGGCAGCTTGATGTGCCACTGCTGGGACACAGCCTGGCTCTGCAATGGAACCTGCTCCTCCACCTTGTGCAGGGACCTTTCAGTAATCACACAGCAACTACCTGGCTCTTACAATAGCAGGAGGGAACAGCTGGGAGCAGAACAGCCCTACATCCAGGATCCCAGAGCTGTTCTTGTGCCTCTTTCCAGCCCCAGAGAGTGACAGCTGTAGGGAAAAAAAAAAGGGAAAGGGACTCTTGTTCCTCCAAGCAGAGCTCAGAGCTGGACTGATGCTCTCTTGTAAAGAGAATTCTGCACTTCCCTACCCAAGCAAGTACTTTGGGAGACATTTAAGTAGGTGAAAGCACTGAGCATAACTCTCAATGCAAACCAGGAAAGCCTCCTCTGGTAACCAGGTAAGTCAAACTCCCAACATTTACCCTGTCTCTCTACCTGGGGCAAGTCCTTAGAAAATGAAGGATGTCATCAAGACAGGTGAAGGACTGTGTGCCAAAACCCAGGCCAGCAGTCACTTTGTTCCCAGCTCAGCTGTCCCATACTCACACATTTAAAAAAATACAAGTGCTCTGGTAGCTGCTGAATCTTGCTAATTTCTGGGCCAGGCCTTGAAATAACCTCCCTGCAATTCCAAATCCAGGAAAAAGAAGCAGCAGGCACCTTCCTGCCCTAGTGCTAAGACCTGCTGTGAGGAGGTCAGTGGGCAACTTCTACTTTGACCTGTTGCCCCTAGAGCCCAGAGCAGCCAGCCCAAGCCATGCCAGCCCTGTAGAGCCCACCCTGCACATCACCATGCTGGGATCCTCCTGCTCCCTGCAGCACTCCTGGACCCCCCCCCAACCAGCTCAGCAGCCCCCTCAGCCTTGTGCCCACAAGACCAGTGCAGGACTTTCTGATTTCCATTGAAAACTCTTCCAAGATAAAGCAGCAGGTTGCTCTGGGCTGCACCAGGGCAGAGAATCCAGCTGAGGCCAACTCACCACTCTCTTGAACTCCTCTTCAGTGAAGCCCATGTAGTTCTTCACTATGCTATAATCCTTGTCAATGTTGGAGTTAAAGATGAGGGGGTCATCCGTGTTTATAGAAAAGTTAGCTTGATCCTTCCTGAATCTGAAAGGAAACCAGATTGAACCGGTGGGTAAATAAAGCATTTATAGCCCCTCCAAATCCTGGTTATTTCAGATTGTAAATAATAGAGAAGTCTTACTGTACTGCTGGGTGTTTCCTGAAGTCTGGCAGACATGCTCCTGTCAGATAACTGGACCAAGGGCAGACCTATTTGGGGGAATAAAATACCAAGAGCAGACTCAGCCATGCACTGTGACCCAGCTGGGCAGCCCAGCAGGCTGGTGCAGCTGGACACAGGTTTGCAGCTTTGCCCCTCAGAGCTGCTCTGATGGAGCAGAGCTCAGCCCAGGACATGGATGGGAAGAGCCCACAGTGGCAGGAGCTGGTGGGATATTTCCCATGACTGATCAGCCACCAGCTGTGTGTCAACCACAGGTAAGAAACCACTGGCATTAAGTATAGATGTACATATTCCATGTATCACTTGGATACATCCGTTCTGGGGAAAAGCCAAGGAAACCTGCCTGTGCACAGTAATTCCCAGGCAATTCCAACCCTCCCACCAGAGAGGCTCAGTACAGCAGCCCAACTGGTGGGAGGAGGAGCCTGCAGGCTCGAGGTACATAAAGCAGTGAATAAGCCCTTCAAAATTTACCCTCAGCCAGAGCAGGATGCATTTCTCTCTGCCACACACCTGCGAGTGCTGCTCCATGCAGCAAAGATCCCAGCAAACAGCCAGGTCTCACCACCAGTCTGTGCCTCTGGGTCACCCTACAGGTGCTCAGCACTCAGGTGCCAGGTCACGTCCCTCACCTGGGTGCCTGGCTGCAGCACAGCCCAAACAAGGGCTGATTTTCCCCTCAGCCAGCAGCGACCTGGCTGCCACCCTCCCACCACACGCCCTTACCTCAAAATGCATCTTTGCTTTCAACAGCTCCTTGTAGAGCTCAGGGTCCTCCAGGACATGGTAGCCATGGCCAATGCGCTCAGCCTTCAGGATATTAACTGCCTAAAGAAGAGGGGAAAACCATGCACAGCCTCCAAGCACCAGCCCAGAGACCCCTGCCCCTCCACAGACACATCCAGCTCCAGGGAGGTCCCTACTCGGTGCCATCGGGGCCAGATCTCTGCCTGGGTCTCCCACATCTGCTCTGAATATGGAGAGGACTTGGGCTGCCCTCTCCCTGGTGCAGGGGATGCAGAGGCACTTCCCAGCCCTGCCCTGGGATGCCCCAGTCCCTCCCCAAGCCAGGAGCTCCTCATACCTCCTTGATCATGGCAGCTGGCCCAGCCTCCCCAGCATGGACAGTGCGATGGATCCCGCATCTCTCAGCTTCCTGCAAGGCAAAGGGGGACACACTCCTGTCCCATCACCTGCAGCAAGGCCAGCAAACCCCTGGGCTGGCACTGCTCTCAGGGACACAACAAGCAATGGGGCCCTGCCAGAAGAGTCCCTGAGTCACCAGGCCTGTGCCCCAGGAGATCACACTCTCTGCTGAGGCTGCAAGACGAGCTCAGTAATGCCAGACACAGAGAAACTGGAAAAGCTTGGTTACCTTCCCCTGGAGCCCAGCCACACTCCTCAGGGTCTTTTAATACCCAGTGAGCTCATTGCTGTCTCCTCTCCAGACAGCAGCAAGCTCAAAATTCTCCTTCCTCCACCCACTTGCCCTTCTGCTTGAACCCTGCAGCAGTCCTGTCTTTGAGACTTCTACTTTTTGGCTGGCTGCAGCCAAGGGGCAGAACTGAAAAGCCCCCAGGGCAGAGATGAAGCAGTGCTCAGACAATGAGGAACTCCCTCCTATGAGGGACCAGGCTGGAGGCAGCCCAGCTGGGAGGAATTTTGAGATGTTCTCCATGACCATCCTGAAAATCCCCTTGCCAGAGTGACCACCCTGGGCTTTGGGAAGTTGCTGTGCTGGAGAAAGACCACCCAGCTGGTGGCAGAGGCAGGCTGCAAGCCCTGGCTTGCAGCAGACACTCTTCCCAGACACTCCTTCAGGGCTTCTCGATGGTAATTTTTTTTCAGTTACTTAATTTTCAGCTCCTCATGTGCTGCACACCCAGGTCCTGCCTGGGACAGTTACAGAAAAGCCCTGTGTGCATCCACCCCTGTGTGCTCCCTATGTTTTAGTGAGTGTTGATTTCTCCCAAACAGGTACTTTTTTCACACTTTTTAGAGTAAAAAAATCCCTCTGGCCAAAGTGCTAGAGCAAGAAGACAGACAGACTCACAGCAGCACTGAGATTCCTCACTTGTTTCTACCTGGGATGAAGACAAACCAGAAATTCCTGTTCCCCCACTCCCAAGACAAGAACAGGAGCTGAGGGTATGAGCAGAGGGGTCAGGAACACCACACACACCAGGACTCCCCCACTAACCCTCCTGGCCACTGCAGCCTGACCCTCCATCCACTGCAGCCAGGAGGGAGCTTGTGTCTAACATCCATCTATGGGTTATCTTCTCTGGAGTGGCTTTGTCCTTTTTTCCAATCATTTGTCTGAGGATGTATGGTGTTTCCCTTGGCTTCCCCTCCAAGAATCACTGCCTCCTTGGACACAGTGATCCTGTGATCCTCAGCTGTAGGTCTCTGCCCTGCAGCCCCTCTGCAGCCAGCATCCACAGTCCTGCTTTCACCATGCCCTGCCCTCTGCCCTCCAGCAGCCCCAAAAGCTCCTGGGCAGAAGGTGCCTGCCCGAGTGACACCACAAGTCTCTCCCTTTCCCTGAACACAGGACATACCCATAGAGCACAGCAGCAGTGCTTAAGAGAACTGCTGCCATGCAGGCCAGGAGGGGCCAATGGTCAGGAAGGGGGTTTGCTTCAGCTCTGCAGAGCCTGGGCGAGTCCCTGGCACAGAAACAAGGGGCACTGCCAGGACACCACCAGAGCACGAGACATGTCTGCCTGAGGGTTAATAAAGCCCCGTGCCCACATCTCAGTTTATAACCACTCAGTTCACCCAGCTCAGCAGTCTAAGCAGACCTCGTGCTGTCTCCCACTGATGGGGACAAGAACCCCAAGAAAGCCCCATGTCCTCTCAGACCTGCATGCTGCTTGCAAACCACCACCAGTGGTTCGTGCACAACCTCCTCTCCCCCAGACACAGGGGACCACCAACCCCAAACTCCCACCAGGAAGGAGGGGAGAGGCACAAAGCTCTTCCTCTGAGCTGCTGCAGGGCCCAGAGGGATCAGGCTCCTGAGGTCATCCCAGCATCTGCAGTTGTGATGATCAGATAAAAGCACTTCCAACGTGCTGCTGCTTCTCTGCTCCTTGGGTGATTTCTGCCAGACTGGAAAGGCCAGTCTCTCCCATGGTGGGTGCACCAAGCCCCAGAAGCAGATCCCAGCTGAAGGCAGTGGGTGCTGCTGGGGAGTACACGGGCACTCAATGCCCTGGGGTAACGTGCTGAGCTCCAGCTCTAAGGCCACGTTTAAGCACTGATGGCTGCCAAGAATCACTTCTGAAACATAAACAAATACTTTGGCTATTTAACAGAATGTTTTTAATGGCTGCAATGGCTTTTTAAGCTGTCCCAGCTGTCTGCAGTGTGACTAACAGTGTGTGTCCCCTCACACACATCCCCTCAGTGTATGTTTAGCTCATAATTTCTTTTAAGAAGGTTCTTATACATACCTCATAAGCCTTCTTGTGCTCAGAGGTATTATTCACCTTCAGGGTCTCATCCCCAGCCAGGTCAATGGCCACCACAGAGTCATTTTTATACTTCTTGCAGAGCTCCACCACCTCTGGTGACCAGCCTGGAAGAGACAGCACCAGGGTTCAGGAGGAAGCAATGGTCAGAGCTGCACCTTCAGCATTTTTCTAAACAAAGCTTTGTCATATAACTAGAAGGCTAGAGCTACTGCCTTTCACCTCTCCCCAAATATGACCCTCAAAAAGAAAGCTAACCAACTCCTAGAAAGGTCTGCCATCTTCAGGTGAAGGAAAGCTGCAATCTCATTAGTCCAAGGGGAATAAAACACATTTATCAGTTACAAAGCTGCTCTCATCATGTTTTTTTGCTCACTTTTGGCAGAGGAAGGAAAAAAAAATAAAAGATGAAAAGAAAAACCAGAAAACCCCTCCAACCCTGGTGGTGACTCTGCAGCTGGCCCAGGGTAAGCTGAACTGCACAGCCCAGGTGTGCAACACTGTGTGGGAGAAACCCGTCTGATCAGGCTAGAGGATGAGCTCTAAGACAGGACATGCACCTCCCAGCTCATTGAGCACTTACCCTTAGCAAAAAGATCAAGAGACAGAGAAAACCAGCAGTTTTAATAATTAAGAGGCACCTACCATGTACATACAATCCCCAAATCATACAAAAACATAAGAAAACATCTACAATTTCATCTCCTTTCCCATCTGCTTCCAACTCGCTGGGTTAGAGCCATTCTTCAAGTTTAATATAAGCAAGTTCTGGCTGGCATCTCTGCCTTTCTCTCAGCAGTTCATAAGTTAGAGGGTGGCTTCTCACTGTGCAGCACGTCCCAAATGCAGCACTGAAGACTCTTGTATCAAGCACATCACTTGGGACTGATTGCACAGGCAGAAAAAACCCACTCTCCAATCTCCCAGTTCCCAAGCATATAAATTTTTCCCCTTTCTAGACACAACATAACCATGTACTGATCAGCCAAAGTATTTCCCACCATCTACCCAATCATGTCTGCATAAAACTGTTGTGAGATACAAAGATATTAAGACAAGTATTCACCTAGAACAGCTACTGTCATCCAACCTCACACTGACTGCTCTTACCCTAAGGGGAGATGCTCACAGAACTCAGCAGTTCAATGAAACACTGGGAATTGGGTTTTCTTCCTATTCTAGGTCACAGCAGTTGTTACCAATTGAGTTCAGAGCTGCTGATTTTGTAAAGAACATTTTATGTATGTAACTTAAGTATATTCTACTTGTGTTTTCAGCTTACACCAGCAGAGACTGCAGCCAGCAGATTCTCTGGCTGACCTATGGCCCAGGCTAACAAAGTGTGCTGCTGCAGCAGCACAATCATGAGCAGGAAGAAGTGGCAGAACTCACACCTGGTCCTCCTCCTGTGACCCATTTGGCTCTTGGACCCCCTGGACAGTCTTGGCAGATGGAACTGCTCATGGTGACAATGGCTCCAGCCAGCCCAAGGAGAGCTCCTGCCTTTAGGGCAGGGAAGCAAAGTACAAACAGGGATCACACCTTCCCCAGGAGAGGACAGAAGGGCCCATTTTGCCTCTCTAGCAAGACCCTTCAGATACTGGTTATACCCTCAGGACCCCCCCTTACATCCAGCAGACCCCTTCCCCATCACGAAGGGGAGCAGAGGAAAAAAAACCTGTCCCTTCTCAGCACAGTCTGATCCCTTCTCAGACCCAGGAACACAGGACCAGGGCTTCCCCCACACTTCTGCAGGCCCCTGAACCCCAGGGATGTCCCCACCCCCCACCCCCCGTGGCAGGAAGGGAGCAGAGCAGCAGGGCTGCTGCAATACATTACTTGGCATATGGCGCATGCAGCATAGAATAGACCTGGCTTTGATGTGGAAATCCCTTTCTCCATCCTTCAGTCCCTGATTGACCAGGCTAACGACTTCATCTGGAGTGAGGTCTCCCCTGCAGGGAAGAAAAGCTGTCAGGGAGAGGCTGGACACTCACCCAGGGGGCAGGACAGGAGCCAGAGGTCCAGCCAGCATCCCTATGGGACAGCCACACAAAACCCAGGCTCCCGTTCACCTCAACATCCAGGACCCCAGCGAGACCCCCTGGAGCTGAAGAGCACCTTTACTCCCATGCCATGCCCAGATCTACCAGGCATTGGGCACAAAAGCATGCAAAGATGATAGCAAGATTTAGGGAAGCTTTGGGGAGCTGGATGCCAACCCTGCCCCAGCAGGAGAACCCACTTCTTTGCCAGAGCATCTCACTAGGGCTCACAACTGCCTGCAGCCGAGCAGGGACAAGCAGGGGGCTCAGCACCCATCACAGCACCTTCTGCAAGGAGCACCAGTGCCCAGCACTGATTGCATCAGAGACAGATCACAGCAGGGGTGGCAGGTAAAGAAGGGGTCAGATCATCAACCCCCTGGAACACTGCCCACCATCTCTGCCAGCTGGCATTCCCATTCTGCAGGCAGGCAATCTGTGTCCAAACACTGGTTGCCCTCACACAGAAAAGGGCTCCAGCCAGAAGCTGAAGCACAGCTGCTCTGCACATGGGTACCCAGAGCAAGGGACATGAAAACACAGCAGCACTCAAGAGATATTACAAAAGGGAAAATCCACTTGATGGGGATGAGAGGTGGAAGAGCTGCTGGTGGGAGGACAGAGGAGCTTTGGTTACACCCAGACTCTGTGACCAGCGTGGTCCAGGCCTTCTCCAGCCCACCAGCTGCCCTCTGGTTCCCAGCACAGCAGGATCACTCACTCAGCTTGGCCCCAGGGGATGGGATGCACACGGCAGTTGGCCAGGAGGTGGGGGCTGTACCGGACCTCCACGTAGATGATCCCTTCTTTTGCTTTTGTTTCCACGAGCTCGTAGGCGATTCTCCTCACTGCCTCTCGGTCACCCCTGCAGGGACAGCAGGGAGACCCATCACCAGGAGTCACCACCCTTGGGGCGCACTGGGGATGGGCGAGGTGACCTGCAAGGCTGAGCAACATTAGCCAAGGGGTCCTACCAAGGGCTGAGGGGGGAAAGAACCAAGAAGTGGGGCACTCACGCGATGGCAGGCATGTAGTAATTAAACTTCTGCAGGAATTCGGTAAGTGTCGTTGGTGTTTTGTAGCTGACATACTTCAGGAGGTCATCAGTAGTGCTGCCAGGGAGAGAAACCCCTCTTTTCCTGGAAATGGAGCCATGTGTTATTGATGGGAAAGCTGTCACATGTTTAATCTGCCCATTTCGTGCAGCAGCCACATCCCGAGCTGGCAGCATTAACCCCCATTTCTTCACCAAAAAGATATGGCACATGTTGTCCTTCCAAAATCTCCTTGCAGATGCAGCCCTGAACCTCAGTGGGGAGGAAGGGAATCCAAAACACAGGCAAAGCACAAACAAATCTAAATACAAGCCCAGACTGACCCAGCAGGAACAGAGCCAGAGCACATTTTAAGCCTAAGGAGTTCATCTAAAGGGGCTCTGGATTATTTCTTGGCACCCCTAGTCCTAGTGGCAGAATTGCCAAAATTCTTTAGAAAAGTTAATTTCCACTTATGCAGGCTCAAAGGCTTGAAAAATCATGGAGATGCTCCCAGGACTACACAGGCAGAGGTGTCGTGGCTCTTGGCTTTGATGCTGGCAGCTCCTGTGAGCCAGTTCGTGATGGCATCTTCTCTGATGGGGACACCTCCCATGCAGGAGCAGATAGTAGTCCCAATAACTGCTCTCACCAAAGGGATGGAGATGGTAAAGCCCACCTAAACTCTTCCAAGAGAGAAGAGGCTGGTTGTCCAGGAGCCCTGGGTGAGTGGAGATGTCCCCAGTGAGGTGAGAGCTGGGGCTGTGAGCCAAGGATGCTGCAGGCTTCCCAGGCAGGCTTTACCACCCCCACCCCATGGCCTGTCACTCTGCCCATGAATGCCAACCTAAATTAGGAATAACAACTAGACATTTCTTTCTAGCCCTCCTTCCTGCCACGATGAATTACAGCAGATTGATGGATCTCTCTGCTAAGAGAGACAAAACACCAAAGAGCAGCTTTAGCCTCCCGATGCCAGCAGCCATCCTGATAAGGAATCCACAGGAAAGAAGCCCAATCGACCTCATTCCCGAGCCCAGTAAACATTACTCAGTCCCCACTGGGGCAGGAAGCAAACCCGCCCATGCTCAGCCCTCACTTGCAACCTGCAGAGATTAAGTTGCTGGCACGTGGCAGGGGAAGGTCATCACTGCCAAGGCATTGCTTTTCCACCCTGTCTTGCCCTTCCCGTGGCACTGACACACCAGTCTCTGCTCCAGGAACTGGCCTATGTCCTCCTCCACCTGCCCAGGGAAAGTTTCCTACAGCAAAGCTGTTTTTCTGACCTCTTTTGTGGGCTTCCCACAGGGTTGCCTCCCCGCACTCAGCAGCAACGGGGCTTTGGGATGATCCATGGTACAGAAACACTGGAGCCAGGTCTCTGACTGAGGAGGGCTGGTGGATCTTGCCAGAGTGGCTTTGGGAGCTGCTGCTGCCCCATTCAACCTGCTTGGTAGCTGGGAGCCTCCCTGCACAAAGCTGCCCCAGGGCAATGTCCTCGTGCCCACCAGCACCTCCGTGTCCTGCCCAGAGCCACCGCCAGCCCTGGGCAGCACTAGTGTCCCATTGCAGAGAGAACACCTCTCCTAGGGACAGCCAGTGCCAGGAGGGGTCTGCCACAGCTCTAAACCTTTTGGCTTGGAGGGGGAGATGCAAAACCTGACTGAGACCTAACAGATCAGAGCCAAGGTTTCTAAAACCAGCTGAATTCAGTCACTGCCCAAGGGGCTTGTGCATCCCAGCAGCTTTGGGCTATTTGTACATGGTCAGCCACCACCTGGCAAATTTATTTCTAGCTCTTTACCTTTAAAAATAGACCACAAGCAGCTTTCTGAGTCCACAGTGAGGTTATTAAGGCAGTTCCCTGCAGACTCCTACACTGCCCTGGTTCTTTTACACTTGTGTGCACACCAGCTTCAGAGCCCATGAACAGCCCAGCCTTTCTCCAGCCCAGCCAAGCAAGGCAGCCCGGGGGGCTGGAAGCCCCAGGAGATGCCAGGGCTGCTCAAAAACAAGAGGGAACTCGGCACAGACTCAGGAAAAGAAGGTTTCTGCCCTCAGCAAAAGCAAGGCATGAAATCCCCAGGTGCCTCCTGGGCTTCAGGGTCCAACAACCCTCCTGGAGGACTGCACCAGCATTTGTCCTCTGCTGGCAGCAGGGACCCAGCACAGCCCTGGGGAGTCAGCACTGACTCCTCTGCCCATCGGGGTTTGTATTCCAGCCCAGCAGTGCCTGGGCAGGGCCAGCAGGAA